ATATCATTCCAACAAAATGGATTCATTAAAGAAAATACCTTTTATACATACGGAAACAAAAAACTTCTCTTTAAAAGCGAGACCGTAAGATACTGTAGTCAAACTATGAGATAAACGTCTTACAGATGCGAATAATAGTAGCAAAGAATTGTTCTTTATTTAGCAGGATGTCATTTAAATTTTGCCTCTATTTAGCTGTGTTAGCTTTCGTGTGGATGTAATTATAATTAATGTAGGATTGGGTAAAATGGAACAGAAGAACGATAAGACTAACCATTGATTAAATGGTAATAATAACTTTTGTTTAGTAGAATGCATATTATATTCGCTTGAATATTGAAGACATTAACACTTGCCTCTATCCCATTTTAATACAAACATCATGCACTACAGTGTTTTAATATAACGCTTTTTTTGATTCCTTGGCGTTGGTATTATGTATGAAATTAGACTTTTTTTTTGACAGAGAAACGTAAGCCTTGTGAACTTTGATATTTAAAATTCATACGAAGATGTTACTATCACTACAATACAGCGGATTCCTGATGGATGGCCAACAATGTTCTATAAGAAAAACGTAAATGTTCGTGTGTTATAAAAATATATTTTACATTGTTGTTGTTGTTGTTACAGTACGAAAAGTAAAATCAAGTGAAATATAATAGATACGAATGTGTTTTATAAATTATTACTATTGCTTGTTGAATAGTCGAGCCAACTTTGAAGAAACTGACGTCGTCTAATAATTTAAAAGAATATCCTCTTAAGATCTAAAAGAATAGAAATATTAAGTTTCGTAGATAAGATTTTATTTTGCTAGTTTATGTTCAGGTGAGCTTTATATACAAAACCACACTCATTAATCAGTCCGGCCATTTTAGTCGTCTGTTACTAGAAAACAAATAAACCTGCTCTTAACATAAAGTACCAGATCAACAAATGTTAGTGTAAAATAAAACGAAAACACGTTTATGCTGCTCGATATATTTTATAATAAATTTTAATAGCATCAAAACGTTCCAATTACTGTTTTCCAAAAGTTTGTTTCTGAAATGGGTTAAGCCCAAAATACAGGGTGATAAACAGTTATTTTAGTTCATATTATCATGTATATTGATATTAAATAATTTGTGGTATAATATTTACAAAAGTTTGTTTCTGAAATGGGTTAAGCCCTAAATACGGGGTGATAAACAGTTATTTTAGTTCATATTATCATGTATATTGATATTAAATAACGTGTGGTATAATATTTACAACCCATTGCAAAAAAAATGTTAATTTACGAAGGCTTAAGTTAACTTATATTGTGTCATCGAAAAGCCAAGAGGCAAATTTTGGAGAACATGTTGATAATTTTTGTAATCCAAAAACGAAATATAGATACAATATTCAATAAGTTTATTGTTAAAAGTTAAAATATACCCCTTTTTCACAAACTGACGCATCTAACATTTATTGCATGAAGAATATAAGTGTGTAAGAATGTTAACATCGTAGTAGTTTGTCATCAAAAATAGAAATATTTGTTTGTTTATTCGTTGTTAAACACATAGTTACATTATGGGCTATCTATGCTCTGCCCACTGAGAGCATCAAAACCCGACTTTTAGCATTATAAGATCTCAGTCTTGCCACCGGAGAGAGAAGAAGAGGCAAATGGAAACGAGTACTACATATTCACAGCAGTTCGTTTTGCATCAGTTCGATAAGGCAAGCATTCCAATACCTAATTACAATACATGCGTTCGACTCGCAATCTGAGGGTCGCGGGTTCGAATCCCCCTCACACCAAACAT